CCAACCACCCCAGCCCCACCAGCGCCCCCGCTCACCCACTGCCGATGCTCGCGTCCCCAAGCCCGCAGGACAGCCGCTGCGTGTCTGTGGCCGACCCCCTTCTCTGGTCCTTTTATAGCCCCTGCCCGGGCCCTTATCGAGGGCCAGTTGCGACACGCTGGGGGCTGGGCCCGATCCTGCAAGCATCTTGGCACCTTCCCGGAACAGAGGGGTGGGAGGGGACAGAGGTCTCCACCCAGCGCGGTGGGACAGAGGAGGGGACGCAGCAGGGATGGGGCAGTGCTCCCCCCATGGGAACGAAGGCATCCAAGTCAGGGAGAGATTTGCACTTTTTATTTGGTCTCTTTCCCCATTAAAAGGTGGCATTAGAAAAGAAAAGGACATCCTTGAGAAACAGCAACCTTTAAACTAAAAACACGGAGATGGACATGAGAAGGGGAGAGGAGGGGGACAGTGGGAGCCTGCTTTCACCCCACCCTTAAAAACTAGTTTAAAAACCTGCAGAAAAAGCAGAAAACTAAATACAAGGAAGCCCACAGGGAGCAGGGCCCGCAGCCCCCTGCTCCCTGCAGGGCTGGGATACACTGAGGGTCTGGGCAGGGCACAAAGAGCCTTTCAGTCCTCCTCTTCCTCTTCCTCCTCCTCCACGCGGCGAACCCGCTTCCGCCTGCTGGGGGGCTGCAGCACCTCATCCTCCTCCACACAGGGCCCAGCAGGGCCTGGCCCAGCACCTGCAGGGGCAGAGGGGGTCCAGTGGGGGCCGGGACCCCCAGCACCATACTCTGCCTGGGGTGGGGGCCCAGCCCTGCACTCAGCCTTCCTCCCAGCCCCACGCTCTGGGGGGCAGGGACATGGTGAGCATCACCCAGCAGCAGCCCTGTGGGAGACCCCCTGGGCCCTGGTGGGGGGCTGCGAGCCCCCCAGGGAGGTGCTGTGTTACATGCAAGAAGCAGGGGCGCAGCTCACCCAGGCTTGCAGTGTCCTCGTCGTCACTGTGCACCTGCCACCTCCGCTTGGTGCCCGCCTGTGCCGGGACCGGGCCCGGCTCAGCCCTGT